ACAATTCCGGACTGCAATAAACGAAAAAAATTAAAGCCGCTTTTAATATCTGTAATTTAAAAATGGCCGTGACTTGTCGTTACGTGGTCATTAAAAAGTGAAATTTGAATTATGGAACGGTGTTTTAGTGTCTTGGGTGATTTATTCGTTTTGGTTTATTGATCTAAACCGAGTACATATGGCTTTTAGAATTAATTTTTTTTCACTTCACGATTACCCGTTCCTGCTTGAATTTTGATGTCCAGTGCTTGGTTGGTTCCATATGTTCATGTAACGTCTGAGCAGTAAACGCAGTTTATAGAATACGAATACCGGCGTTTCGATAATCAGCTTTTTGTTGCCTCCTTCTGCTCCAAATAACGACACGTCGGCACTAAATCGAAAAGTGTGCTCGAGTCAATAAAGCCAGCATACAAAGGCGATAAAATTAAAGTTGAATAACAATAAAACCGTCGTTAAAGTTTATTTAAAGACGCATCCTTAATTCTGTCGAGCTCGGGAGTCGCGTGGGTCGAACGTCCCTTAATCCATCGAAGCCCATTAGCAAAAATCGATATTGCAAGATCTCGAGTTTCGTGCCGTATGTGAAACATTTAACCGAGTGTATTTCCTGTTTGGCCGCCATAAAAAGCTCGCAATAAATTTCAATAATAGCTCTTTATTCGGTATCAATTAAGGAAGCGCGTCTTCCAATTCCGCCGCGATATAAATCAATTATTCTTGATAAGTAATTGAATAATAATGACCAATAGAGAGAGTCCGCGCCCATCTCGATATTACCCCAAATTAACCGGACCCGTGGCCCAATAAATCAATTAAGACCAACCCTGGTGGACATTCCCGCCGCCACCCTCCGTATTGACCCACCCTGGGCGTTATGGCCAGCGAGCACGCGATCAGTAAACACCTCTGCGGCCGGGGGTGGCAACCTCTGCCATATAAATTAGCCCGCCATATTAACCCATTATGCGCGCAATTATTCCACAATTATAAATTTCTAGACGGATTTGTGTTTCGGGGGTTGTGGGCGCGGCCATCGAGGAACATTAACATTAGTATCACAGGCTTTTTTTTTTCATAAATCTCCTATGTTGCTTCGATATCACTTTCTTGCATTACATTTTTCAAAAATTAGCAGACGTTTGGTAGCTTTTTTTATTTTTATAGTAGACTTTCTTTAAAAAATCTATTTATCGATATTTTAGAGTGTCTTTATTTCTAGTTTTTGTGTTGTTTTTTGTCAATTGTCAAAAAGGAAGGAAAGTCGATAAAATAAGAATGAAAATTTTATCTACCATTAGTCATGGGCATATTAAACCTTCCACACTCGTCAATAAATATGTTCGCTGTTTCAACAGCATAGAAGTTGAATATATTTATTTGCTCTTCGCAAGAAATTGTTTTTAAAATTCAATAATTTTCGCTGATATTTTGGGATCGTCGAAAAATCTTGCTGCAGTGTTTCCATCGTTAGATATTCCGCTCCCTTCTACCCCTGGTTAGTCCACAATCAACTCTAATTTATTTCAAAATGTCTCCTACAATGTCCTAGACATTTGGACATTTAGTGCCGGCAATATTTAAAAAAAAAACTTCTTTTTTTCACATTTTTAGTCACATATTATTATCAGTTTCATCCAACGTGTGATCCTGATGTTGAAACAATCTTTTAGGCTCTTGGTATTATTTTTTCAACATGTTGGTTTCTTTTTGAAGACCCTGCTATTTTATTTTTTGAAAATGTTGAAAGAATCTCCGACCCCCTAGTGTTTTATTTTTAGAAGAATCTCGAGGCTGGTAATGTTTTAACCTGAAGAAGTTAAACAAATCTCGGGGCTGCCGAGTTATTAAGTTTTGACAATCCAAAAATTCTCGGAGGCACTGGTGTTTTATTTTTGGATGAAGTTCAAAGAATCTCGGAGTTTCTTGAGTTTTACGTTTTGAAAAAGTTGAAAGAATGTTGGGGGTTCCTGGTGTTTTAAATTTAAAGAACTTGAAAACATCTCGGAGCCCCTGCTGTTTTATATTTTGAAGAAGTCGAAAGTATCTCACGGTTTCTGATGTTTTATATGTATTTAAAGAACTCGAAAGGATCTCGGGGCTCCTGGTGTTTTAAATTTTAAGAAGTTGAAAAAGTCTCAGGGCTCCTAGTCCTTTATATTTTGAAGAAATTGAAAGAATCTTGGGTTCCTCTGTGTTTTATACTTGAATAAATTGAAAGAATCTCGGGGCTCCTGGTGTTTTTTATTTGAAGAAGTGGAAAGAATCTGGGGGCTTCTATTACTTTATATTTTGAAGAAATTCAAAGGATGTCGGAGCTCCTGGTATTTTAAATTTGAAGAAGTTGAAAAAATCTTGAATTCCCTGGTGATTTATTCTTGAATACATCGAAAGAATCTCCGGGCTCCTGGTGTTCTAGATTTGAAGAAGTTGAAGGAATCTTGAGGCCCCTGCTATTTTATATTTTGTAGAAGGTATCTCAGGGTTCCTGATGTTTTATATTTGAAGAACTCGAAAGAATCTCGGAGCTCTTAGTGCTTTATACTTTGAAGAAATTCAAAGAATCCCAGGGCTCCTAGTGTTTTAAATCTGAAGAAGTTGAAAAAATCTCGAGGTCCCTGCTGCTTCATATTTTGAAGACGTCGAAAGAATATCGGAGCTTCTGGTGTTTTAAATTTGAAGAAGTCGAAAGAATCTCGATGCTCCCGGTGTTTTATGTATATTTTGAAGAACTTGAAAGAATCTTGGGGATTCTTTGTATTTTACTTTGGAGGGAACTTGGAAAATTCTGGATATCCCTAGTATCAGTTTTATCACGCAAAAATCTTCAAGATTTTTAAATAAGTTTGAAAGAACCTGGTGTCTTTTTTCAAGAATATAATAAATCTTGGGATCCTTTGCGTTTTATTAGTGAAAAATAAAAAAAAAAGGTTGGAGTGTTTGGTATTTTACAGTTTTGATACCTTGTTTGTCAGTTTCGTTCGCAAATTGTATTGTGCCTTTACCTTTAGTTTTTCTGAACTCGCGAAATATTCAAATTACGCAAAAAACCGACCCTAATATTATTATTAGAAACGCCAAAGCATAATTGAAATATTATATGTATCGCATTATTATACAGTTCGTGTTTGAGATAATGGAATGAATTTAACGAGAGCAGGAAGTTAGTTGTTCGGTGGTGGCTCAGATACCGAAACGGGGACCTCACACCACTATTCCGAACGGTAGCCCGCCAGGTAGGTGGTGGATGGCTTCTGTTTTCCTCGGTCGTTATTTTCGATTAATTGTTTGGCTGCGACGTTTTGACGTTAAAGAAATGCTGCCGAGTTAATTAATTTTTGTCAATTAGACAACTATGCCAGCTACAATCAAAAGCTTGTAATCACACGTACGGAAAAAATTCTATGCGTCTTTAACGAGGACCTGGAGCTCATAATCTAATTAATTAAGGCTGAAATTTTTGAGCAATCGAAAAGCGATTGCCGGAGTCTTGATTAAAATTTAAATCGCTCCATTAAAGGCGTGTGAGCGGTTTTTAATATAGTTTCGTGTCAGAGACGGAGAAAATAGTGGAAAAAATTATAAATTATTAATGTTCTGAATTAATATTAATATTGTTTACAAGATGGTTAATAATAAATTGTAGAACTTTGTCTACTTTATTACGACCATCATCCAGACGAAACGTTAAATTAACGTCAAGTCCGTTTTTATAATAAATTGTCAAAATTTGACTCTGTACTTTTTCGTAACTATGCACAAAACTACAAAGACAAAAAAGTGGAAGACTCTGAAGTCATCGTAAGACCCTATTCAAACGAGGACCTTTAATTTCTCCACTTATGTAGTTGCTACAAATGACGAGTTCTCAACGCTAATTATTTTCCGTTTTTTTTCTTGACATTATTTACACCTCCAGAGCTTTTTCGATCTTCCAGCGTCATTATAAACGTATTCGAGTGTAATTAGTCACCCACTAAGCGCAATACACATCAACAAGAAACCCATAACATAAAACACAAAAAAATGAAACTAAAATATTTACCATCACGCGACGTGTGGCAGCAAAACGGAGTTTAATAACAAGTTTTTATTTGATTTAATACATAGTTGTTTTAATGCGTTAATATCAATCTGTTCCATGACAACTTAATTCCAGACAATCATTAAAATGAAAGTAATTATCAAGCTGTATTATGACGTGAGAGCGAACAATAAAACGTGTACGTGTCTTTTTGCAAATCTAGATGTAGATTATCAGTTGATTAACACTAAAAGTTAAAAATGATTTATTTTTATATAACTTTTTTGTCATAGATATAGAATTCAAAGAGAAGTGATTTACAAACACGTTAATCGAAATGTTACCTAATCAATGCTATCTTGAACTAATTATCGTTAAACTGGGTACATGCATTTAACATTACTAGCTAATAACTACCCAAAAACAGCGCGATAGTCTCTTTTTATTTAGACATTTCGTAGCGATCACGTTCGATAACAAAAACAAACCCATTTTAGTTTCGGCCGAAATGGAAACGATTACACGTAATCTCTAACCTTTGATATATCCAATACACACAAAGCATTTTATTAAATCCCTAAACAGTGGAACGATTCGATTCGTTCCTGATTCGATCAGTCAATAATACATGTTATTAGATGTCGTTATTCCTATACTTACCTCGTCCATATATTTTTCTATCTAAATTTGGGGCGTAATGACGAAAACGATTGAAAGCTCATAACGCACGAGCTTTTTTATACGAATATATTTTTCCCCGTCGAGCATGAAAAGCTTGTTAAGCTTATGAAAGTTTTATCAAACCGTTTCGCTTTGCATGTTGTGCGTATCAACATTAACATTTTTATTTGTCATTTCCACTCCGCTAAATAAAATTAATTCCGAGTGTTATCAACGTAATAACTCTATTGTGGGAAGAAAAGAGGGTCTCGTCGAATAATCTTTATTTGATTTATATAATCTATATTTTTACAGTTGAGTTATAAACAATTTCTGTAGGTACATGTTTAACTATTTATACCGAGTACATATAAATAAGCTTCAACTCACAGACAAATAATCATATAAATATGTACAGTAGTTTGAAATATACATTAGAATCAGAGTTCCTAATAAATATTGCTTTCGATTTCGGGTACGCTAACAATAAATATCTAGTCCTATCTGTAGATTTTTACAAGTCTATGTACACCGGCGGATCAAAAATGCCATGTTCTGCACCGTCTTTGGTTGTCGTGCAAAAAACCCAACAAGAGTATGATCCCATGTGATTTAAACAATAATGGCACCGCACAAAAACTGTTATTTAGTACCACACAGCTCGCAATTGTGTTTAAATGAATGGTACATTAATACATTTTTTGCCAGCCGAAGCTCCGAGAATTGTAGAATTAAACAAACAATGCTAACATACTCAGAGATCGCCGCAAAAAGTTGCCCAACTCTTAGTAGACCATCGACATCGGTTCGTCTCTGGACAAGGCGAAACCCAGAAATCACTGCGCCACCACTCCGCGAACCGCCAAAAATCCATCAACCCTCGTCCACAAACGAATCACAACGAATCACATTGGAAGCATCAACTTATTTATCACGAAAATCGGACGTCCCCTACGAGGGGGTCTTGGTGCCGTGCATCTCCTGCAGCTCCTCCTCCTCTTTGGACAGCGGGATCGTCGAATGGTTGTACAGGCCCTGGGCCATGAGCTGCAGGGCCAGGGGGTTCTTCTGGCCGGAGGCTTTCTTGATTTTCGCGCGCTTGTTCTGGAACCAGATCTTGATTTGGGCCTCGTTGAGGCCCAGCTCGGCGCTGAGCTGCTGCCTTCGTCGCTCCGTCAAATAGCGATTTTCCGCGAATTCGTGCTTGAGCCGCGCTAACTGCGCCCCCGAAAACGCGGTCCTCGGCCTCTTCTCCTCGGCGGTCGGGGGGCCGGGTTTCGCGCCGGGTTTCTTCACTCGGCGGGTTCGCGGACCTGGAACAAAGTCAGGGATTAGCTTTCAAACGAAAGGAAAAAGGTACCTAAAACTAATCTACCACAAAATCACTTACATATAGAGATTTGAAAAAAAATGTCGTTGTCGAAATTGTTTAAAATACGCCGAGGTTAAATTTAACCTTCAAGAATAGTTTTAGTTCATCAGGAAATAGCAGAGAGACCAGTTGAAATATCACTAATAAACAAGACGAAAAGCAGCGGACCCAAAACACATTTCTGAAAAGTGAATAAAATTGTTGCATCAACGAAAAATCTTTGCACTTCAATTAACAAGATTTCAGATATGTTGTGACAAATGGAGTTGCAATGAAAAAATCACATTTCCACTTCAACCCATCATTTGGTTTTTTCAAAATGCATTATTAACTGGCAACTACGATTATCATAGTAGGTACTCATTTTAGAAATCAGTTAGTTTCAAAATGTCAAAAATTTTACAATATCGTTTTCAGGTTTTCAAGATTTTAAAATTCATATGCTAATTTTTTAAAATTCTACTGCTCAATTTGTTTAAATTTCTACAATTTTACTACACTCTGCTAAATAACCTACAGCTGTAATACTTCATGTATAAAATCCACATAAAATCACGAATTTATTAAAAATTTTGAAAAAATTATAATCGTATGATCCAGGAATTTTCTTTGGTAAAGAATTTTAACTTTTAAATTTTGAATATAATTCGAAAATTCCAATCTATAAAGCTGTATTTTTATTATCATTCAATCTCGTTGCTAAAAAACTGGATTCACATTTTTTATTCTAAATAACCTGTTTCCTTTATAACCTTTATGCGTTTAAATCTAAAAAATTACTAAATTATACGACCGATTTACGAAATAGATTTCAGTAGGTGTTTGATAACACAAAAAAAACTAAATTTGATGCCTTTTTATGAAAAAACGACAACATCCTGAAGTAACTGCTTTTTTAACTTTGTCGTAAAAACAATTTTTTTTTTTATACAAGCAGTCGACTGAAACATTTCAACATTATGCGCCTATGAAGTTACATCAAAATAAAAAAAAAAACAATTTTTGAGTTCCAAAAATAACTTAAAAATATATCACAGAGGTTTTTTTTTCTTACTCCATTTCATCCAAAAATAAAGAATGTTACATAAAATTGAGTAGGTATAACTTTTATTTTATAAAATTTTTATCATAAATTTAGAGCTCTCCTCTTAACAAATTCAATGTTCAATGTTATACAATTTTTGAAAAATAAAATTATTTTTATCAAATTCGTTTACCACACTTTTTGTATCTGTGAATTTACTCTAGGTTTGTTGTTTTCGAGTGCAAACTTTTCAGATTCAACAGAATCATACACGTTGGTATTTTTTTTTTCAAAAATTTTGAAATTGAAGATTTTCCAATTTTTAATTACTTCCTGCTTAATGACAATGCCTTTAATAACGTAAATACAATCATGTGCATATGTTCACATTCAAGTCACTAACAGTGATTTTAAAATTCTCGGTTCCATTAAAATTTCAGTTTCCGATTATTAGAATTTTTAAAATTTAATAACGTGTAACAGAAATTCGATAAAATTTTGCCAAAATGTGGACTAATTTTTCTATATTCTACTATTATTAGTTTTTTATTCCCAAATTACTATTTTAGGTTCTGTAACAAGTTAAAAATAAATGATTTCAAAGTTTACGTCATTCAAAGCCGTAACAGACTTTTTAATTTATTTTTTAAATCTCATAATAACAATAAAAATATTTCAAAAAGCAGTTTACGTTAACTTCAGAATGTTCGGATCTTTGTGTTATTTTTATTTTTTTAGTCCAATATTTTCAATAATTTTGAGACTTTGTAATACACACGTTTTCATCATTTTCGACTCCAAATCTTTTAAAGTTTTTAAATATTTACAACGTGTTAATCATATATATTTTGAAGAAATAAATTGTGCCTGAAAAAAAATTGTCAAAATTAGATTATTATTATTATTCCTTAATTTTTATACATTGAGAGTCAATTTTAAATCAACTTTGTCTTTTTATTCACTCTAAGCAGAAAATTAATTTTTTGTTCTTCAACATTTATAATCTCTGAATTTTATTGGTCCAACATTTTCAGCAGATATAAAATTTTTATAACTTGGAAAAAAATTCCAAAAAATTCTCCTAAGTTTAATTCAAGCTCTTGGGGATTTTTAAAATGTACATTGGTCAATTTTACTTGTCGTTTGATAAAAATTGTAAAATGGTATATGGCAAATTTTAAGATAATCAAAAAATTCCAATTTGAACCTACATATTTCGGAAAGTATCACATAAACAAGACATCTCGACTTAAATGCAAATTTTTTCAACATTTTTGAAACCTTGACAGCTTTTTGGGAGTCGTGTTGATTGTGTTCTTTTGGAAAAGTATCACTGTTGGTTAAAAATTTTGATTCTCAACTAAATTTTTTTTCCAGGAGCACCAATATGCTACATTTTGCGATTCAGCTCGTCGAGATCTACTTCTCAGAATGTTTAGACGATTTAAAAAATTTCCCTAGGTCAAGTTCAAGCTCCTATAGCTTTTTTACAACGCCCGCTGCCCAACATTTCACCAAAATTGGCAAAATAATGGCTCGCAAATTTTCAGATATTGTAAAAATTCGAATTTGAACCTAGATAATTCGAAAAGTAGCCACCGTACGAACTTCATCTTTTTTCTCGAAATAGACATTGCATCACTGCTTATGTGTAATTTTTTCATAATTTTTGCTTTGACGGTTTTTCTGGGATCGTGCTGAATGTATTCTTTTGAAAAAATACCATTTGGTTAAACATTTTAATTTTTTCCTCCTCCGTTTTACGATTTATTACGATTTTTGCCAGTTTTGAAAAAAAAAATTAAATTTTATAGCTTGAAATTTTTGCGTTTCTAGTGATGGCCTAAAAATACCAACAAAAAAAGAAAAGACTACAAAATTTTTGAAAACCATTTCTTAACTAAAAAAATATGTCCTCTTATCATAACCACGACTTCGTTTACAAAATGGACTTTTATTTTTAAAACTTTTGATAATCCAAAAATAATAGACATATAGTTGTCAAAAGTTACGGTACAATTTCATAGTTTTAGAATTTTCAAAAAAATTTTCAAAAACTGTATTTTACACAAGATTTTTTGAAAGCCCCATCTCTGTTTAGACCGTCGCCGCCGTTTCACTCCTTCGCCTCTCCTTCCAAGACCCCCGGCGCCACTTCGCCACACCGCCAATCGTCACCCCGCCGCCGACCGCATCCGCCACCTAATCCTCGCCTACTTACTTAATTAACCCCGATCGAAGTCCCTTTTTGCCGATTCGTTCCGGTCTCGTCTTCCGTTTCGCCCATGGGAAACGCCAATCCCGCCACAATAGCTGTCGGCCGTTTTCGAAAAATTCCCGCGCTGAAATCAATTTTCCTTGAAAGGAAACTGGCGAGCACAAACACAAAAGTTTCCAAGTCAATCATGAAAAGGCAGGGCGGTGTAAACACGCCGTTTCTTGCAAGTCATTTGCATCAGTTACTTGAAAGAGCGTATAACAAGTAAAAAGCGAGCAAGACGTGCAAAGAGGGTTCATCCGTGAATTAGCTACGAGCCGTTCATTAATCACTTTCCCTTTTATAAAGCTGATGCAAAATGAAGAAGGCGGATTATGTTCTGCTCACAATGACACAAAAATTAAATTACTGCCTTTAATGCGACGCATTGTCCGGCCGTAATTAATTCGCTGGAGCGGGTTTCGGCGAAGACGAAAAATTCGAAGACACAAAGGGGCTGCTAAGAAATTGGAAGGCAAAGATAAAGGGGCGGATTTCTATGCAAAATAATAATTGTCGCGGAACTAAAGGCGACACAATTTCCATTTTTGGCCATAAATTATATACCTAATGTTTCTGAAGCAACATTTCTAGTTCGTCTCGAGGAATCCAGGATTTTGTCACCTGTGGATAAAGTGAGTGTTAAAACATTCCAAGGTTGGTATTGCAACAGATCTCCACCCAAACGAGAAAAATCTCAAAGTGGCTTAAAAAACCAACCAATTCAGCACGCTTCATAAAATTTGCAAATTATTATTGTCTTTTGGGTCGTAAAAACTGCGTAACTAATTCAAGGTGTTTGTTAAAAAAACGTGTGATTATTTCGAGATGACGTCACCGCCTTCGCACAGAGGAGTGCATGTTTCGTAGCCAATCCCTCACGAAATATTCAGGAACACGGAGCCCTAACTCAAGACAATTGTAATTAAGCAGATAATCGTCGTTCAGAATGTAAAACTGGCTCATTTGCGTGCGTGCCAGCTGATGTATAACCAATAACGGGTACTAAGACGTGACTGGTGACAGTTATATTGGTTCATCTCGAGACAATGGGACTTGACAGGTTTGCAATTAGCGCATTCTGTTGTCAGGTGGAGAAGCTCTTGATCAGTTTCGGAGATATTAGAAACGGAACAAAGATAATTATGCTGCCAGCCGAAATTATTCGCCGCCATGATTGATAACGCCGCTTTTTTCTCACCGGCCTAACAGACATTTTCCTGATCCCATTACAAAATCGCCGGGGCATTAAGTGCGCTAATACGCATCACATTAGACGCTCCTTACGACTTTAAGAACATATAATTAAGAAGTAGACATAAACATTAATCTTGCCGCGTATAAAATGCGAGTATGTTGGCTACGTGCAGAAAGTTAATTGAAAGAAGAAGAAATATAGGGGCAAACTGGATGAAAAAGCGGTCTGCACATCTCAACATGGCAATGGCGGCCGTTCGCTGTTCGAGCATTTGCTTCACATACTCTACCTTTCCTAATTCATTAATCATTTCAGCAATCAATACGTTCGCTGTTTACGGTAGGATGCTCGCTTTTTGCACGACGTTTTCGCGAAAGACCGAGCTTCTTTTTGCCAAGAAAAGATACGATATCGTCGACGAAGACTTATCTCGCCGTCTGCAAGTAAAATGCCTTGATATAT